TGCTGCTGCCTGCGGGGGCTTTGCTCCGTGTCAACCCCCCTCCCTGTGACCGATGGGGACCCTTCAGCTGCCCTGTACTGTCTGGGAGGCACAGGGTGGGCACTTGGCCAGTGCCCACCAGTTCAGTCAGCAAAGCGATGGAAGATGCTGGTGGGAGGGAATGAGTCCAACCGCACTTCTCCAGCCCTCCTTGGGGCTGGGGACGGGCAGTGCCCGGGGAGGGGGACTCTGTCATTTTCCCATGGGCTTTCCCTCCTAGAGAAGGAGAGGGGCGAAAGAAGAGGGTCTCTTCTCCTCTGCCCTCCCCAGCGCTGGGGCTGGCCCCGGTGCCAGGGGAGGCGCGGCCGGTCGGGAGGAGGGCTGCCCGTCCCCCGTCCTCCCCCCCTCCCTTCCCCCCGGGGCTGGCGGCCAGCCCCGAAGTTGCGGCGAGGCGGACGAGGACACACGTCCTGTCCTGTCACCGCCCCCGGGCCCCCCCAGCCTCCCATCCCGCATCCCTCCCCCGCGCTCTCCCGGCCGTCCCGCCCGCAGACCCCTGCCGCGTTCCCGGGGCGCGGGGAGAGATGGCTGCCGGAGACCCGCGACAGGGGTCGCCGCAGACACCTGCTGCACCGGGCCCCCCCCCGTGCACCACCCGCTCGCGCCCGCTCCCTCCTTCCCCCGCTCCCGTCCCTGCCTCCAGCCGCCGCTTGCAGAGCCGCCGCGCCGCCGCCAAGGACGAGGCGGCACCGACGGCGGCCGCCGGAGCCCCCCGCCAGCTCCGCGGCGGGGGCCGAGCCCGCCCCGGGAGGCTGCCCCGCACAAGAAGAGGGTTGAGAAGGCAGAGCCCCCGCCCAGCCTGGTGGACGAAGCCCCGCCGGAGCCGCGGGGCATGTAGGCACCGAGCAGCGGCGGTTCCCGCTAAGTACCGGAGCGGGCTTGGGGGCAACCGGGCCCGACGGACTCCGCCGTCGCCCCGCCAACCCGCCGCCAGCAAACTTTTAGGGATGGGGTGGGGGTCGTTGATTTTTTTGGTGGGGGGTTGCCTTGGTCATCTCCCCCTACCTCAGCATCCCCCCGCATCCCCAGAGCTCCCGCTCCTCATCCCGGGCACGGGACGGAAATGAGCCTTAATCCTTGGCGCCGTGCTGGGGGGTTTCTGGGGGAGTGGGAGGCAGGAAAAATTGAGGAGACCTCCCTGGGTGCCACCAGCCCTGTGTCCCCCCCCGCCACCTTGCGTAACCCAGCGGCAGGCAGGACACTTGGCATTTATTTTTGGTTAATCCATATTCGACCTTTTTAAGCTGCGTTTGGGTGCGTGCGTGTGCGGGGCCCTCGCCATCGCCCCTCGCCCGCAGCCGGCCCCAAACTGTTTTTGCCGTCGGAGCTGTGCGGGCGAGGAGGTCGAGGGTGATGAGGAAGAGGAGGTGATTGCTGGCTGGTGGAGGATGAAGGTTGAAAGGAGACGGTGCTTGCCGGGGCTGCCAGTGCTTCTCCCTCCCGAGTCATCCCCTTCCTGCATAGGGACAGGGATAGTGACGAGTTGGCTTTGGGGAGGTTTTGCTGCTTTCTGTCCTTCCGGGGGGCTCCATCGGGGTCTTCTTGCTCCACAGGGATGTCCCCGTGGGGGCAATGACAAGCCTTGGCACGTCCCGGTGCCCTCCCTTTTGCCCCCCTCCCGGCGTGGCTCCCGCCAGGTTCGGGTTCGCTCTGTCCTTTCCGTCCACCAGCAGCAGTTCCCCATTCCCTGGCGCAGGCTGTGCTTTCCCTCTCATTTCAGGTTCGGAGGCTCTTTTTGGGGGGATAAGGTTTCTCTTTCCTGAGTGATATTTTGCATTTCGGGATTTTATTTCTGCCTTTCCTGAGGTCAAAATATCTACATGAGCATTTCCCCTCTCAGACCAGGGAAGGGAGGGTGGGCAAAAAAGAGATTTAAAATTAGGAGCAAACTTTCCCTGTTGCATTAAAATGACATTTCAGGGGCTGGGGAGAGGTAAGGGCTTGATTGTGGTTTTAGCAGGAGGTTTCCATGAGTTTGTTGCACCAGGAAGGTGTGCCTAGGAAGAGGGTTAACCTGCTCAAAACTGCCCCAAAACAACAGAAAACAAGTGCCGAAGCCACTGAGCAGCTCTGTGGTGTCCTCTGGTCCCAGGGGAGGCTGCCAGGAGGTGGCATTGCCTTGCCCAGGCTCCTGGCCATGGCCACCTTCCTCCCACCCCAGCCTGGCCACTGGCCCTTCACCCAGCTGGAAAACCGCTCTTTTGGGAAGGTCTTTTCCCAAGGGAGCAATTCCACAGTGCTTGCTACAAGGGGTTGGAAAATGCAGATTTTCTTTAAAGTCCATGGGGGCTTTGCTATGTCGTGCTGAGCCCAAGAACAGCCCCGGCTTTGGCAGTAGCTCAGGGGTGGGCTCAGTTTCTTCCTCAGCCTCCGCCACTTTCCTGCAATCTGCCATCCCCCCAAAAAACCCACATATTCCTGCACCCCTCTAGCTCAGTCGTAGAAAAAACAAGCTGGAAACAAACGGTGTTGGCTGGGCTGGAGGAGCTGGCTGACCTTTCCTTCCCAAATCCGGCCATTTTGGAGCAGCCCTGGCTCCAACCTGTGCATGGAGCCCTTGCCAGCCACGGGCTCTCTGGCCCTGAACGCCGCCATCCTCCTCCATGCCAAGGGCTGTGGTGAGCAGCCTGGCTCTGGATGGTGGCACCGGACTCCTGGGAAGGATGGAAATTCATTCCCCTGGTTACCTCAGCACTGGCTGAAAGATGTGATGTGCCTATGCCCACCTCCCCTCTGCTGCTGCCATTGTGCTCTGGCTGTGAGGGATGGGGATGCTTTCCACCTGCTGCTCGGTCCATGGGGAACCGGATCCCTCAAACCTGTCCCCAGTCACAGCCAGGAGCGGGGCAACCCCTTTGGTGACAGAGCTTGGCATCACAAGAGGCGTTTGCTGGTCTCTGCCTGGATTATTTGGTGCTAGAAGAGGTTCCTGAGCATGGGGAAGAGCTGTGTTCAGGAAGAGAAGGATACGGGCCTGGGATGGGTGAGGTGCCAGGACTGGCACAAGCAAACCCAATCAACCACCATGAGGGCCCAGAGTATATTTAAATGTCCTTGAGGAGGGCTCAGACGGGCAGTGCTGCTGCGAGAGTGGTTCTGTTTGTTTTGGGTGGTGTGTTGCTCCTCTTCCTCTCTGCTCCGGTAGCTGATGCCGGATTCCCGATGAATTATTTATCATGGGACTAAAAATACTTGGGAATTCGCAGTGAGGAGCAGGCAGTGCAGGCTGCCCCGCCACTGAGCTGGCCATGCCAGAGCGTGGGACGCTGCCAGCATGGCATGACTCACCTGCTGCCCTCTCTGGCCAAGGGGCCCTGGCTGCAGCCATCGCTGTGGCGTCGTGGCTCCTGCAGCTCGGCCGGCTGCGATGTGCGGTGGGGTGGGGGATGCAGTGAACCCCCTGGATGGGTGCTGGGGGTGGATGATCCCCTGCTGAAACTCAGATCTGGCTGAAAGAGATGCTGCCCGGTGAGCATCAGTGCCCAGACAGGTGCCTGAGCCTTCCCACGGGGTCTAGGAGAGAAGTGTGGGGTTTGTGTTCCCTGTCTCTCTAGAGGTGCTCAAATCCACGCCGAGCAGCTCTTGCAAGGTGCCCAGCCAGGCAGCCCTTGGGTTTATTTCCTGCATTTTCCGTCCAACATGCCGGCAGTGTTTTTGCAGCGTGCCGAGGGTTTGTCCGTCACTGCGGCACAGTGGGATGTTGGGGTGCAGCTCCCCGGGGCAGCCCAGACCCCAAAACCATCCAGGACCCACTCAGCAAGAGGCTCCTCTGGCTGTGCTGGGGACATGTTAAGCAACAGCAGCTTTTAATTGCAAGCGACGTTTCGGAGCACCAGCTGGCACCTTGCTGCATGGAGTGACACCGGTGCACGGCTGGTGCCACCGCGCAGGGCTGCTCATCCCCCTCCCCGCTGCCCAGCGTGGCACTGGGATGATGGCCCTGGGGACAATGAGGCTCAGAGGGGCTTGGATGCCCCTGGCTGTGGGTTGATTTTGCCAACAGGCTCTGAGGAAGGGGTGAGCTCCAGCAGGGGGGTGCATCGCTGTAGGCAGGGATTTGCCCCCCCTTCGGGGGATTGTCACCCCACCTGCTGCAGCATGGGCACCCAGTGGCAGTGGGGAATTGGGGACCTGGCAGGGAAGATGTGCCCACAGAGCCCCTGAGAGCCTGGATTTGGGGTGCAGCCGGCAGAGACGCAGTGCAGTGAGTGTCCCAGCCAGGTGGGCAGTGCCAGCAGGGGACACACACCGGGGGTAAAGGCAGGAAGGAGGAGAGCTGAAGGATGCTGTTTAGGGGGTAAACTTGGAAATAAGAAGCCAGACGAGTGCTTTGTTTTGGATTTTGTGTCAGAGAAGGGGCTGAGGTAGCGTGATGGGTGAGGGACAGGTAGGGGGACAGGCAGGGGGACGGGCAGGGGACCGGCTGCCCCTGTGACTGTGTGGTTTGCAAAATCTCAACATGAGGGGTGAAGAGCTGAACCCTCCCTCAAGGGCAAAGCCTTTAAATATTGAAGGTGGCTGTCCACTGCAGACAGAGGCACCAGGGAACTGCTAGCCCCTCCTGTCACCTCTTGCTGCTGTCCCTGTCCCTGGCTGAAGGGATAACATGGACCATTGTGGCAGTGGCGGCTTTTGGATGGGGTGGGAGGGCAATGGGAGGGGTATGGTGGTAGTGGGATGGGGAGGGGGTGGTGGTGGGAAGAGGGGACTGTCTGTGAAGGCTTAGTGGTTGATAGGACTGGACACAAGGCACATGACACTGGGGTGTACAGTGGGTGGTGAGTACAACCCTGTGGTCATTCCTTCACCACACCCAGCATCCAAAGGATGAGGGTCCCCTCTTTCTTTGGGGTCAGCACACACTGGTGATGCCCCAGGGCAGTGAGGAGGGCTGGGGTGAGTGGGGTGGGGGTCCTGGTGGGCGGCTGGATGCGAGGGGCTGTGTGCTGTGCCGGCAGGGACGCGGCGGTGGACATGGCAGAGCGCCGGCACACACCTGCTACTGTCGATGGTGCTGGGCTGCTCGGCTGCCTTCACGGACCTCCTGCTGCCGGGCCCCGAGGAGCCAGTGGTCAACGTGGCCGTGGTGTTTGGGGGCACGTCCTACCCCCTGCACATCCGCTCCCGCCTGAGCCCCCAGAGCTTCCTGGACATGCCCCTGGAAATCCACCCCATCACCGTCGTCGTCAACAACACCAACCCCAGCACCCTCCTCACCCAGATCTGCGACATCCTCGCCAGCCACAAGATCCACGGCATCGTCTTCGAGGACAACGTGGGCACGGAGGCCGTGGCCCAGATCCTTGACTTCATCTCCTCCCAGACCCAGGTCCCCATCATCAGCATCAGCGGGGGGTCTGCAGTGGTCCTGACCCCAAAGGTGAGGCACTCACTGGGGGTTATTTCCAGGGGGGATGAGAGAAATGAGGTGTTATTAGAGAGGGGTAGTTCAGGGGTGTGGAATGCTGGAGGGCAGAGGAGCTGCTGTGCTGTGGAGTGTGGGATCACGGGCAGGAGTAGGCAGTGGCTGTGGCAGTGTGGCCAACGGGTGGTGGGATATAGTGGGGACTTCAGGAAGGACTCTGTTGATGGGACATGGGAGAGGACCTCAGTGGCCCCTGGAAGGACCTTCCCTGGTGTGCTGTGTCCCATCCCCTTCAGGCTGTGCCCACCATGGAGTGCTGGGCTGGTGGCACTGGGACTATTGGGGCAGTGGCAGGGTTGTCACAACCCCATCCTCCTTCTGCCCTGCCAGGGCTGGATCCAGCCCTGAAATGGCTGGGTGGGCAGCATGGAGGAGCCTTGCTTGGCTGTGGCAGCAATCTCAGGTGCACCACACCCAAAACAGGATTTTTGGCTTCTCTGCTCCTCACTGACATCAGACATTGTCAGTCACTGTCACCTGCCTGCTTGGAAGTGCTGGTGGCAGGGAGAGCTGGAGGCAGGCTGGAGGGTGCTGGGCATGTGGTGATGGGCTGTGGCAAAGAGATTTGGGTTATCTCCTTGTGGCTGCTTGTCCCACCCTGCCCAGCCTGGGCACTGGAGGGGTCTCAGTGATTGCTCTTCCCCGTGGCTAGGGACTGCTCCTCCTCAGGGCATGGCTTTTATGCTCTGCTTGCACAGTGGCTTGGGGTCCAACCCTGCTGGATGGCACCTTTGCAGCCCTGCCTGCACCCACTGGTGCTCCTGGACCACCTTGAGCTGCTGCTCGCTGTGGGTGGGTGGCAGTGGGTGCAGTGGGCTCGGGTGGGTGCAGTGGACTTGTGCGGGGGCAGAGGGCTCAAATGGAGCCCGAGCAACAGAAAAATAGCCATGGTTTGCTGTGGTCTGTGTGTTTTTCTGCAACTTTCTCCAGGGTTTGGGTATTTTGGGCTCAGTGGAGGGACCTGTCTGAAGGCTCGACCTCCTTCTCCCACAGATCCAAAGTCCCCAACAGCCCCTGCTTTCTGTCTGTGACCCCCTGGGGCTCACCCCAAACTACTTCTCTGGAGGTGGAGGGGGTCTGGGCGGCAAAACCCTGCTGCCTGCACGTGACCTTCGGCAAATGCCATTCGCTGAATCATTTAAGACAGAATCAGATCAATTAAGGTTTGCTAATGAGAGGCCAGATGGCCGGGGAGGTGGGGTGGGAGGGAAGGAGCCACACAGGCTCCGGCTGCAGGTAGTGAGTCGGAGCCGGGATGGGATTTATGCTCCTGGCAGAGCTCTTGCCCACCTTCTTCTCCTGGTTTAAGGAGAAATTGCTGATATCCTTTGGAGGATGGATGAATTTTTGTTTAATAAGCTGAGAAACAGATGTGAAGCCTCAGGACTTGAACCTTTACATGGGATGAGCTTCCTTGGAGGTGGATGAGTCCCATTTTGGGTGTCTCCGACCCATGGACCACACCAGTTAATGGCACACTTGAACAGGATCACAGTGCCAGTGCAGCCCCCGACCCCTTCTCCTCCCACAGGAGCCCGGATCAGCTTTCCTGCAGTTGGGTGTCTCCATCGAGCAGCAAATCCAGGTGATCTTCAAGGTGCTGGAGGAATACGACTGGGGCTCCTTCGCTGTCATCACCAGCCTCTACCCGGGCTACAACATCTTCCTGGACGTCATCCGCTCCTTCACGGATGCCAGCTACTTTGGCTGGGAGCTGCAGGAGGTGCTCACCTTTGAGATGAGCCAGGAGCAGAGCAGCTCCAGGACGCAGCGGCTCCTGCGGCAGATCGATGCCCAGGTCCTCATCGTGTACTGCTCACGGGAAGAGGCCGAGTACCTCTTCTCCATGGCAGAACAAGCCGGCCTTGTGGGGCCAGGATACGTCTGGATCGTGCCCAGCCTGACAGTGGGCAACATGGAGGTGCCACCCGCCTCCTTCCCCGTCGGCCTCATCAGCGTGGTGACGGAGAGCTGGAAGCTGAGCCTGCGGCAGAAGGTGCGGGACGGGGTGGCCATCATTGCCATGGGGGCAGCCAGCTTCTTCCGTGCCCATGGCTACCTCCCGGAGGTGGGGCGGGACTGCTGGACCCCCCCCAGGGCCACTGCCACCAACGCAAGCTTCTACCGGTGAGGCTCGGGGACCCCCTGGGATGGGTATGAAATGTGGGGAATGGGGAAATGGAGAGGGAAGGGGCAGGGGAGGAGGGGGATGGAGCTGGCGGGCAGAGGGGGTGATGCTGGCTGTGGGCTGCAGCTGGTGGTCCATGCCTCTTGGCTGGCTTTCTCCTGGAGTATCTCCACAGCCTTTTCTCATGCTTCTCTGCAGCTCAGGACCCTCAGGAGGCTCAGGGGGTTTCGCAGCTCTGCTTTGCAGTGCAGAGGTGGCATCTCAGGGTGGCTGTGGCAGCCTGTGCACCCTCAGCCCTGCAGGGTGCCATCCTCAGTGCCTCCTTGCTGGCAGAGCTTTCTCCAGCTCCTCTCTCCCCCTTGAGTAGGGGCTAAATCTGGTCCCCAGCTCTCAGCCCCACATATCTCCATGAGACCTGTGGCAGCTCAGCTGAAGCTGGAGGAAGAGGAGGAGGAGGAGGAGGAGGGCTGTACGTGGGTGGACTGCACAGACAGGGACTTACGGGCTCTGTGTCCCACCAGGCACCTCCTCAATGTGACGTGGGAGCACAGGGACTTCTCCTTCAATGAAGGTGGCTACCTGGTCAGGCCCACCATGGTGGTGATCACACTCAACCAGCACCGGCTCTGGGAGATGGTAGGACCCCCAGGCCCCCTGGGACAGGCACTGTGGGGTGGCTGGGAAGGGTGAGCCTGGGGCCATGCACAGGCTGAGGTCCCACCCTGGGGTGGGTTGTCCCATGCAAAACCCATGGCTGGTACTCAAAAGTACCCATGGTGGGGCTTTGTGGCAATGATGGGCACGAAAGCTCTGCCAAGAACTGTCAGTTTTTTCCTGCAGTTTCTCTGATAAGTTCCAAAAAAACGCAAAAATGCAGCTGCCCACCTTTGGAGAACAGCAACCAAACACCTAGACCTGAAACAAGCTGCAGGGAGGGGGGTTTTTTTGGTAGTCTGAAAGTATTTTGTGTGAAGTTTGGCGAGGTTTGTGCTCAGTTAAATGTGGTGCTTGGGGCCCAGGAGGAACACTGTGTTCCATGGGTGTGTGGGGAAAGGGATACTGAGATGGGCATCACCGGGGTGTGGGGAGGATAGACACGGGACCCTGTGTGACCCCCACAGCCCCTCGCCAGGGTGACTGTGTTCTCTCCCTCGTGGGCAGGTGGGCAAGTGGGAGAAAGGCATCATCCACATGAAGTACCCGGTGTGGCCCCGCTACGGCTCCTACATGCAGCCCGTGGTCGATAACCGGCACCTGACAGTGGCCACGCTGGAGGAGAGACCCTTTGTCATCGTGGAGAACACGGACCCCAGCACGGGGGTCTGCGTGCGCAACACGGTGCCCTGCCGCAAGCAGACCAACTCCTCCCACAGGTGAGCAGGGGGATGCAGCTTGGAAATTCTGGCCACTGTTTCCCAGGCATGTGGGGGGCCAGGGGGGGCACCAGGGTGCTCAGAGCATCTTTGATTAGTCCAACCTGCTTTTCCCGGTGCGGTTCCAGTGGCGATGGCCTCGTGGATCCCTACACCAAGCTGTGCTGCAAGGGCTTCTGCATCGACATCCTGAAGAAGCTGGCCAAGGCAGTGAAGTTCTCCTATGACCTCTACTTAGTGACCAATGGCAAACATGGCAAGATCGTCCGTGGGGTCTGGAATGGCATGATTGGTGAGGTAGGGCTGGGCATGGCTTGGACCCCCCACCTCTGACCCTGACTCATCCCTGACCTGGGGCTTTCCTGATGGAGGTGGGATCAAACTGTCTGTCGTGGGACTCTGCACAGGGGAGAGCTTGGCATGAGCTCCTCCTCGAGGGAGGAGTCAGACGAACATTTACAACCCCACAGCAGGTTATGCTTGTGCCACTGATCACTTAAAAAGCTAATATTTTTTTTTAAAAAGGCAAAAATTAAGGTTGGAGGTGGAGGAATGCCTGGGGAAGGTGGTCTGGGTCCCTCTGACTGTCCCTCTGCCCATCCCGAGCCCATCTGCCCCTTCTCCAGGTGTACTACAAGCGTGCAGACATGGCCATCGGCTCCCTCACCATCAACGAGGAGCGCTCTGAGATCGTGGACTTCTCCGTGCCCTTCGTGGAGACGGGAATCAGCGTCATGGTGGCCAGGAGCAATGGGACTGTCTCCCCCTCCGCCTTCCTGGGTGAGCTGTGTGTGCCCCTGTCTGTCTGCAGGTTCATCCCATGCTTCCCACAAATGCAAACTGGAAATATTGTTCAGTTTTAATAACTTTTAAGAAAAGAAAAGAAAAAGAAAGCCTAAGTCATAAGGGAAAGAGATTGTGCTGTCGGCTTTGGGGCTTCCTCCTTCCCTGCCTGAATAATCCTTTTATTATGGAGATGGAGGCTGGGAGGTGGAGGCTGGGCTCAGTGGTTCTCTCCTCTTCATTTTTTTGTGTGGAGGAGGGAGGACAGGGTGCTGGGGGGATTTTCCACCTCAGAGCCCTGCTGTGGGGACCCGTCTCTGCCACCATCACCAGGACAGGTGCTTAAGCCGGGAAATCGCCAGTGCTAAAAGTTTTATTTAACGAGTTTTAAACCAGCAAAGCTGCAGCCTTGGAAGGGGAGGAGACTGGCCAAGGTCGTCAGGAAATTCAGCCTGAGTGCTCGGGCAGGGCTTGAGGCTCTCGGCAAGGGCACAGCAGTGATGTCCCAGCTCAGCCAGAGATGGGCTCCTGTGTGGGAGGGTGTAGGTGGGTGCAGGTGCCAGGGATGCCGTGGGAGGTGGAACAGCACCAGCCTGGGCACATCCTCCCCCTCCTGTCCCTCCCTGATGCTGCAGGTCTGACCTGCCCCCGAAGCAGGGTCACCTTCACTGGCCATGGGGTCAGATGGAGCATCCTGTCCTGGTTTGGCAGGGCTGGGGTCTGCAGTCCCTGTGTCTTCTGCTTCTGCACTAACGAGCCGCATCCCCATCAGGGGAGGCCTCTCCTCCCTGACAGCGAAGGACGTGCTGACAAATGAACTTCAGCAGCCGCATGTTGATGGCTCGGATGCATCCCCACTGCTCCTGCTGCTCCATCCCAGATCATCCTGGGCAGGCAGGGGGCTCACTGCCCACCCCAGCTCACGGGGGGCTTTCACAGGGGCTGAGTGGGACTGGGAGGCTGATCCCGTGCCTGATGAAGGCACAGTGCTGTGGCCTGAGCCATCACTGGGGAGAACCTGCGATCCCATGGGAAACCCTCCTGCCAGTGACTCTGGAGATGGGCAGCATTTTGTTAACATCTCCCTGTTGATGAGAGCCTGATTCTGCCTAGGCAGGGAAGCGTGGCTGCATCCCCCCATCCCACAGTATCCCCTTTCCCTCCTGATTCCCTGCAGAACTGCTTGGCCATGGTGCTGCCAGTCCCCATCTCCTTTCCAAAGAGGGACAATATTCAGGAGGACGAGCCCCATCCATTGGGGAGGGCTCCTGGGAGTCCCCAGGGGGTGTCCCAGGGGGCTGACAGAGCCCCACTTGCCTTGCAGAGCCTTACAGCCCGGCCGTGTGGGTCATGATGTTTGTCATGTGCCTCACTGTGGTGGCCATCACCGTCTTCGTGTTCGAGTATTTCAGCCCTGTTGGCTACAACCAGAACCTCACCAGTGGCAAGAGTGAGTTGGGGAGGTGGGAGCTGGGTGGGGGGACACATCCCCAGCCCAGCTGACGGCTGTCCCCTCTATCCCATGTCCCCGTAGGGCCAGGAGGTCCCACCTTTACCATTGGCAAGTCGGTGTGGCTGCTGTGGGCTCTGGTCTTCAACAACTCGGTGCCCATCGAGAACCCCAAGGGCACCACCAGCAAGATCATGGTGCTCATCTGGGCCTTCTTTGCCGTCATCTTCCTCGCCAGCTACACGGCCAACCTGGCTGCCTTCATGATCCAGGAGCAGTACATCGACACCGTGTCGGGGCTGAGCGACAGGAAGGTAGGGCTGATGGTTGGGGTGGGAATCCTAAAAAATCCCTAAAAATAGTAAGGTTTTTTTTTGAGGTGGGGGGTTGCTGCACACCACTGCCAGCCAGCTGGATGGGTGGAGGGTTGGCTGTGGGGAGGGAGGACATGGCAGGGACATGGACACCATGTGATGCTGCTCCCTGGGGCTCCCTGTTGCAGTTCCAGAAGCCGCAGGAGCAGTACCCCCCATTCCGCTTCGGCACCGTCCCCAACGGCAGCACCGAGAGGAACATCCGCAGCAACTACCCCGACATGCACACCCACATGGTGAAGTACAACCAGCGCTCTGTGGAGGACGCCCTCACCAGCCTCAAAATGGGGTACGGTTCCCCCAAAAAGGGTATGGTTCCCCCAGATGGAGTATGGCTCCTAGAGCTGGGGTACAGCTCCTCAGAATGGGATGCAGCATCCCCAAATGAACTACAGCTCCCTGGAATGGGGTACACGATCTCCCATGTGGGGTAGGGATTCCTCAACCGGGGTACAAGCCCCCACAAGTGAGATGTGGGCCCCCCAGGCTGGGTACAGCTCTCCCAGATGGGATATGGCTCTCTGCAGCTTCCCTGCATGGCATAGGGGACCCCCAAACAGGATACAACCTGTTGAAGATGGGGTGCAGCTTCATACAGCTCCCCTCAAAAGGGATGCAGCCCTCCCCATAGGGGTTATGGCTCCCCCATATGGGATACAGCCCCTCCAAGTTGGGTGCTTTCCCCCCAAGTGTGGTTACAGCTCTCCAAGACAAGGCGGGGACCCCCAAAGAAAACTCAACGCCCTCCAGATGGGCTACAGCTGCCTGAAAGGGGTGGAGCTCCCCCAGGAGAAGCACAACCCCCCCAGAAAAGGGCTTTCAGATCCCCCCCTCCCCCTTCCTCCCAGGAAGCTGGATGCCTTCATCTACGACGCGGCGGTGCTGAACTACATGGCAGGCAAGGACGAGGGCTGCAAGCTGGTGACCATCGGCAGCGGGAAGGTGTTTGCCACCACGGGCTACGGCATCGCCCTGCAGAAGGACTCGCGCTGGAAGCGGGCCATTGACCTGGCCCTGCTCCAGTTCCTGGGAGACGGTGGGTGCCCCATCCTCGCCCAGCCCCCACCCTACAAATTAATCCAGGGAGCAGGGTTTTGGTCCCCCAAACTTGTGCAGCCTCCATGGCTCCTCACAGGATGCCACTGAGGGGTTTCTCCACCACCTCCTCTCAGGGGATATTAAATTCAGTGGCATTTTTCCAGCTGGATGCTGGTGGTGGCGGGGGGCTGTGAGTAAAGTCTTGGAGATAGCTGTGCACAAAATCCAAGGGTCAGAAGGAGAAGCCTGGGAAGAGGACAGCAAGCACGACTGACTGGCACGTGGGAAACAGAGAAAGGCAGGGCCTGGAGAAGGACAAGGGACTGGTGGGATTCTCAGGCCAAGGGCAGCAGCAAGAACAAGGCTATTACACCTCCTGGGGCTCGGGGGTCTCTTTCTCCTCCTCCAGCCACAGTGGGGTGGGGATGAGCAAGGGATGTGCTTGGGAAGATGACTCCTGTGGGTGGATTTTCACCCCCACGCTCCTGTGTGTGTCCGGCCCCAGGTGAGACCCAGAAGCTGGAGACAGTTTGGCTGTCGGGGATCTGCCAGAATGAGAAGAACGAGGTGATGAGCAGCAAGCTGGACATCGACAACATGGCCGGGGTTTTCTACATGCTGCTGGTGGCCATGGGGCTGAGCCTGCTGGTCTTTGCCTGGGAGCACCTCGTCTACTGGAAGCTGCGTCACTCCGTCCCCAAGTCCCACAAGCTTGACTTCCTCCTGGCCATCAGCAGGGTGAGGGATGCTGCCAGGATGAGGGGCCCAAATGTCCCCACACGGTGTCACGTGGCTGGGCATGGTTTGGTGGGCATTGTCCCTTCGACCCACACAGGAGGGACTGGAGATGTTTGTGCTGATGTGAGCTCTTGTGGAGAAAAGCCAGCTGTTGGGGAAAGGGCTTAGCCATCTGTATTAGCATCCCTGGGGAAACGGGTGATGGAGTATGGTGTCACTCACCCTGGCAGTGCTGAGGATGCTGGGGAGGGGACACCAGTGCTGTCAAGCCACCTCAGCCTCAGCAGCATGAACTCAGCTCAGCAGGGTGGGCTCAGGGGCAGGACCCCACTGACATTGCTGATGGTGGGGGTCCCCCCACTTCTCCCCACAGGGCATCTACAGCTGCTTCAATGGGGTGCAGACCATGGGGAGCCCTGGGCGGGCACCCACACCCGACGTCACAGCCAGTTCAGCCCAGGCCAACGTGCTGAAGATGCTGCAGGCGGCCAAGGAGATGGTGACGACGGCCAGCGTGGGCGGCTCCCTGGAGCAGGCCACCCGCACCATCGAGGACTGGAGCAACCACAGCGAGCGCCTCCAGACCACCTTCTCCCTGAGGACACCCCAGCTCGTGGTGCAGAACAGCA